GTAAAAAAAAAAAACGGTAACCTGGTTGCCGAGTTCACGAAGTGAATTGGCTTGTTTTACAACGTCCTTGCCAAGCGACGAAAACCCACTCCCGATGGCAAACACCGGGGGGGGCGGCTTGTTTTACAACGTCGTTGCCAAGCGACGAAAACCCAACCCCGATGGCAAACACCGGGGGGGGCGGTGGGGGGGAGGGGGGGGGGTAAATAGCAAGCAACTTTGCTTTTGGTGAAGGGGAGGGGGTAGGGGTAGTGCGGAGGAGCAGCTGCACCTCAAAGGCCGTTGGTCGCAGAGCTCGCTGCTGGCAGAGGTTCCGGTGACAGTCACGGATGGTTGTGCCCCGAAGGGACACGTCGCTGCACCACGCACTTTTGCGGGATGGACGGGGATGGGGCTACATGTCCCCCGTGACTCACGCGAGGGATGGCTTTTTGGCGGGGCTGCCACAGCAGCAGCACCGCCACAAAACATAAACGCGAGACCTGGGCCGCGGCCAACCTCTGCAGTCTGCGCTGGGGGCGCCCAGCACAACAACAATCAAGAATTGGCTCGAAGAAAGAAATATTTTCCAGTATGCATGGTAGCTTGGGCGGGACCAAGCTGCACCCTATGAAGCGACACGCACGTACCACCAGCCCCCAACGCTGATGCTCGCTGGGGAATCCTAAAGTTTCCGGGTGGCGAAACCACAACTGTTTGAGGTACTTCTCCAGAATGCCCCCAAAACTACAGAAATACTGACATTCGAAATGTTTCACAGCGAGAATTTAATGAGCAAATACAACCCCGAGGAACAAAACCGTGGAAGCGAGTTACCTCCCAAAACGACACCAAACACGTGGCGGCGCAGCATGACCATTGTTCAGCCAACAACCGCCAAAAAAAACAGAGCAAGCCTGCAACCTCGAAGAGGCGGCCACCCACCCAGCGTACGCACCGCGGCTGACAGGGTATGCCAAAACCAACACCGCCAAACGTGTTTCGCGTCTTTTCGTATGCCGGACCTGTAGGTGAGCTCCTTGACGCCCAACTTCTTGAGGCCGGTCACGCCCGCGTCCGGCCCCTCCGCGCCCCTGCGGCCGGGCGGCTTCGCCCCCACGGTGGCCTCCCCTACCCTCGCCAGAGCGCTCGAGTCAGGCACGACGATCAGCGTGCCGGTGAACACGGTCTGCATGGGATGCGAGGGGCAGCAAATTGTCGTGTTTGATGTTGGGGGGGGTGTTGCGAATGGGGGGCTGTTTTGTTTTGTGGTCGTGTCTTGTGGTTTGTTGACCAACATATGAAGCAGACAACAAGCCACGTTACCACCGGTTGCTGTTGCTATATTCTTTTGCTGTCCTTCGTCGGCCCTGCTCGCGGCCCAAGCTTGGTTTCCTCTCGGCCGCACAAACTGCTGCCGCCGCCGCGCTTTTGCCGCTACGAAGCAAGCCTCTGTCTTTCGCCCAAACAAGAAGAACTGCAACAGATGTCTCAATTCGATCGCTATCTCATTGTTGTTGTTGTTGCTTCTGGTGTTGGTGGTAGCGCTGTACTGCTGCTGGTGGTACCTCACCTTGTCCCCGGCCTTGGCCTTCTCGACGGCCTCCCCCCGAAGCACGACGTCGAGCGACCGCGGCATGCTCCCCGGAGGAATCTCGTCTGCGTTCTCTTGCACCCTTAGCCGCTGCCAGTCCACGAACACGCTCCTCTACTTGCCCGCGCGCGCAATAAACGGAGCACATGATGACCCACATGGAGTGAGAACTAGACGACCACGAGATGTGGGGGGGCCCTCCGGAGAATTCTATCTAGCTTGCCGCAGTCAGCCAAGGGGGGTATTCAAGTCAAAAGGGACACACGCCTTTCCGCTCCACACTAAATAGGGAACGCAATGAGAACAGACGTCGAGTAGAGAGGATCCAGGCGACGTTGGCGGGGAAAAACATGACAAAGCGGCACCACCCTAGCCCTGATTCTTTCGAGAGAGAGGGGGGGGGGGTAGAGGTGAGACGACGCCACAAGTCGAGACCATGACGCCGGGGCTCGTCCAGCCAGAGGCGAACGCCATACAAGCATTCGACACGCAACACGTGCGTGCGTACCCATTCCTGGCAACATCAGGAGCGGGAAACGTCCCCACGAAACTCCGCCGTATCTGTAGCAACACACGAAGGTTGCCACACGGAAAACATCACCGCAAATCCCCCGGCACCCCAAGCGATAGCCCGTGGTGGGGCGCGAGTGTACGCGCACTCGCCTGCATGTCTAGCTCCCAGTCCCTCGTGTTCTGGCACGCCGGGTTGATGCACTTGGTGGGCTCCGTGTACTGGTACTGCTGCTCCACATCCGGCGACACCTGTCCAAAACAGCATTTGTGAACAGAAAAATCGCAAATAATGGATATTGTGCCGGTTCGAAGCCAATATCCCGTTCGAAGGGATGGCTTCAAGCCTTCACAGCGGTGACGAACTCTTGCAGAAGACCCCACTCCCCGAACGACGAGTACAATGGCGACGGGGGCGGCACTTCTGGCAACACCGAATCATAAACACCGGAAAGAAAAATAGTATCCCACATACCCCGTCGATTGGAGTGCATGAGACGAAACACAATCGGCGGTCCTTCTCCTTCTAGAAGGCTCCCGACTACCATAGACCAGCGAAAAACAGGGCAAACATCCAGATACAGGTGCATTCAATTTGGGATCAAACACACACACACACAGGGACGAGTTTACGACTCACGCTTGACGTCGCACACACAACCGACAGACGAAAAAACAGTGCCCGCCCGCCTCTCTCACCAGGCCACATTTCCGGCAGGTGAAGGTGCCCCGCAGCAGCTCCGGCCGCACGTCCGTCGAGCGAGTCACGGTGCCGCTCACGCTCACGAGGCGGCCGATGCGGTTGGTCTTTAGCTGCCGCACCCGCTCCACCAGCGGGAGGTTGAAGAAACTCACGTAGAACTCCTTCGGCGCGTCCTGGTGGTGTGAAAACAATAGTATGTATGAGAGTTGGCGTCTCAATGTTGGACGGGGTGCTTATTGTTGTATTGTGTGTTGCTATCGTTTTGGAGGCAGACGCACACCAACAGTTAGTTAGGTTCAGTCAGCACCCTTTCACCTGATCATCGGCGTCGTTGGCGTAGTGAGGATACTCCTCCTGCACCAAGCGGGCGAGCGCTTTGTTCATGAAGGGCATGAACCGTAGATACTCCAGCTCGATAGCCTCTCCGAGCTCTTGGTCGTACTGCACGCACGCACGGCGGTGGTACAGCAAGTAGTGGATGGTTAATCATCAGCTCTAAGAATTGTTATCTAGACTATGCTTCAGGCGAGGTTAAAGCAGTATCAGGAGAGCAAGAGCGGATAAAGCAACAAATCATGATTTGCAGAATGAGATAACGAGTGGAGCACGGAACACCCGCGAACACTGGAGAAAAAGGGGGGCGGACACATTACGGAGGGGATTGGAGCGAGCCCGCGGTTTTGTGTTTCTGCACCGCGTGATGGATCCAAACGCGCAGCGATGGCAGCAGCCCACCGCACACATCAATTACGCCGCATGTTGCACTGCTGTCCGCAGTTTGCGGTGGTTGGAGAATATCGAGCGTGCTATCCAGCCACAGGACCGACAAGGACGTTTTCGAATTTCTGACAGAGCTGTGTAGCAGCAGAATGAAGCCGACGGGACGGGCAAGTATGTAAGCCTACATGACTGGAGCAGCAACGGCATATGCATACAAAACAAGGTGTATTGCGTCGCCTGGTGTGTGAGCTCTCCCCCCCCCAATTCTTGAGAAAGCGCGAAAAAGCATCCCGTGTGTCGACCGACGAGTCAAACGCAATGCTACGCTCTGCATGCCCGTGCCACTCTTTCTCTCACCGCAAACACGTGTTGCACGTCGACGTACACCGTGTTCTTCTCGTTCTCCACCATGGCCGCGATCTGCGCCAGGTAGTCTCGGTACAGCTGCACGCCATCGGTGCCGTCCGTGGTGCCCTCTGCCGAGGAGGTGAACTTGGCCAGGAAATCGTAGAACCTGTTGAGGACAATCTCTCCCCCTTCGTCGACGTTCTGGGAAGGCGGTGCATTGTCGGCCATGGCGTCCCGCCCGCGCGAGAGCGAGGGCGAACGATGGTGAGAGAAAGATGCTACGTGAGAGAGACGACAAGAGCAAACAGCAACGAGAGCAGAGCGGCGGTTCAAATTTTAAATCTGGGGGGACTACGTCGTATCACAGATACCCAACTACACGTATCTACATGTGGCGAACCTCGCTAGTACAGATTCTACGTCGCCCCCAAAGCCTGTGTGTCGGTGTCTGCGGTAGGCGGCACACCACCCACCTCTCCACCACAGCTCTCCGTGTTCTGTTGCTCAAGAACTTCCTTGTGACACGCCCGACGCACCTCTTCCCGTTTGCTGGAATCTACTACCGAAGTTCGCTGAAGTCGACTCGGAAACACGCACGCACGGAGCTGTCAGCCCTAGACTACACCGCAGCAGTCATAGACGCTCTCTATTGGTGCGCGAGGAACAACCCGGCAGCAGGGCTGGGATACCAGGAGGAAGGGTGCAGGAGCGTTCGACGACCATCGCCGTTAAAGTGCGCCAGCTGAACTAGCTGCTTGCATCATGGGAAAGAAGCTTACTTTCAACGACGAGAAGAGGGACAATGGGCCGGGGGTGCTGCAGGTGCGTTTCTCTCGGGCGGAGAGAGTCAGCGCCGGAGAAGCCAAGAGGCTGTGTGCTCGCATGCTATTCGTTACCTAAGCCAAGTCGTGCATGAAAAATCTGCATACCCACCCATGATGTAGAGGGTGGGTGTGTGAAAGATGGTGTGCATCAGTTTCAGCGTTCAGCAATTTGGTCTCGTATGCTGTATCGAAGTGTAGATATTGAGTAGAAGCTGATCAGCTGACTACTACAACTCGCCGTACAGGACTAAATGGTACAGAGGGCACCTTCACGTACATACGGGGTGAAAGTATTTGCACCAACATTTGCAAGGCTACTCTCGGTAACGATTTATCAGTTCGGCAACGATTGGTACGGGAACCAGCGATTACAGAATACACGGTAATATTTGGGTGGTAACTGGCCATCATGGTAACATTTTGGTGGTAACTGGCCAGCACGGTAATGCACAGTAGTAGTATTTGGGTGATAACCGCCCACAACGGTAACTCCCGTACAGGAAGTAGCCACCACGGGAACGCACGGTAATATTTGGGTGGTAACTCGGCACCACGGTAATGCACGCGGTAAGGGGCCGCCACGGTAATGCACGGTAACATAGGATGAAAACACTCCACACGGCGATGCACTGCAATTCTGTTGTGTTTTTTTCAGTGGGTGACACCCAAACAGTGCGTTCCACGAAGAAGACGAAACACACGAGTTAAACCGACCTCACTTCTTCTCGCATCTCGTTTTTCAACTCGTTGTTCAATTGTTTTGAGACTACAGGCGAAATATCTCAGTCAAGTTACTGAAAGACCAGGCAAGAGACAAAAGACAACGAAAGGACAAAACTAACGAACTGCATCATGTACGTCCAGAGCGAAACCTCGAAATCCATCACTTGATCACTAACCTTGTCTCAGCTACGTGAGGACCGAACGCATCAATTTTATCTGCGAGACATGCATTAACCACCAGCTACCACGTAGTACACGCACATCGAGCTTAACACAAGCATAATACTTATCGCCTGTATTTCATGTCTGCGTCACACCGCAGGCAAGCAGTTCAAACACAACAAAAAAGGTTCTTTCGTTTGATCGATCGAAGGAGATCACAAAAAAGGAAGGGCAAAAAATGAAAAAGAAAACAAGGGGCAGAGCAACGAATCCGCGACCTACCGTGCCAAAAGTATGGAGGCAGCCCCCTCAGCTACATTTACGGTAATTGACGTGGTATTCCCGTATGGTATGGTAATTTTTTATCTCCGCGGTAATTGCTTGGGTGGTAACCAAAAGCCACGGGATTTCGACATTTGCACGGTAATTGCTTGGGTGGGAACAACGGGATTTCACCTCCTTGGTAACGATTTGGATGGGAATGGGAGAAGGCCATTTGCTTGGTAATGATTTGGATGGGTACGGTAACAGGGAATTTTCACGGTAACGTTATCAATTACCGTTCCCGTGGAATTTTCGCGGGACATGTACCGCGGGAAAATTCCCGAGAGGAGCCTTGAAAATTTGCACGCGGCCGCGGTTGCTAAATAGCAGCACAGCACGATTCTCTCTATGCACATGTCGCATCTAGCTTACACCAACCTCATAAAGTCATACACACACTGGTGTGCTATTGCATGTATTTCCGAATCGAAACCCACGCCGCGGCCCTCCCGTGGTCGAGAGGAAGGGACCGATGGGAACCTACAGCAGTAGGATGATGTCGTCCAAGTAGACTACCTCTCGTTCCTTTCGGATGCGATGAATGCTGACTCCGCTCCATGTTTGTTGCTTGATTGAGTCAGCATTGAGAAGTTTCGGGCTCCCAGCCCTAGTTGGCAGGGCCTCCATGCAGTGCGCACGCCGATTGGGTGTTTGCGGGCGACCCCCGTGGCCCCTCTCCAACTTCAATGCGCGTGTGTGGAGCAGTTCTGAACTGAGTTCGGTAGCATCTCGAACCCCCTCCCACGCGGTTACCTTGCGCTCTCTCTCCCCGCGCCAACCCCTGCACCCAACCTCTCCATCACAGCATGCCAGACCCTCTGGCCGGATGTTAAGACGCTTGATCTTGCCGTTGCCGTTGCTCTTGATGCGTATGTTGTCTGCGTACGACAGACGCTGGTGGTAACCGGGAGATCACTGGGAGCGGCGGGGTTCGGGTGGGCACAGTGGGCGGCGAAAAAGACGGGGCGAACGGGCTGGGTGCTTCTGACAACAGCCGTCGTCACTCTTGTGCCTCTAGTCTTCGAGGTATGTATGTATGCATGCATGTTTAAGTCGAGGATAGGTGGTCGGGAAGTGACTTGTTGTTTTTGTGTTAGTTGTTGTTGTTGCCGTCACGCTGACGCCGGTCCGATCTCTGCACAGTACCTTCCGACATCCACTTGGCCGTTTGACGTCGACACACCCTTCGTGGTCACAGGCAAACTATTTACTTACCCCCCAAGATAGACGTAGTGCCGAAGTCTGGACAATATCTCCATAGAGCTGCTGTCGTGGCCCGTGAACCGTTGACACCCATAGCGGTTCGCTGCACCTGGTGGGCTACTAGAAACAGGTTGCCGTGGTGCTGAATGTGACGGTTCACATTCGCGATCCCAACTCAGTCAAGCACGGGAACCCGCCCCGCTCTATGAGAATCATCAACCAAAGTTGACCATTTAGACCCGAAAATATTGTTTCCGATCAACAGCAGTTTGGGCACGGTTTTATCACAGGTAGATGTTAAGCAATGTATACAGCTGGGTGTGCATACGAAGTGTGTATTCTGCATGCATGAAGCTTGTGTTCCGTAGCGTGACCTGTTCTCCGGACACGGCATTTCCTGTCGTGTGCTCCCGAATGTTGTTGCTCGCGGAACACCGGGTCGCCGCCACCTCTCCATTTGCGCAGATACACATGGTTGGCTGGGGGGTTCTGTCGCCGTACAGCAATAGAGTCTTGAATTCGGACCCCATGCATGCAGACCAGTCCCCGACGCCGTCTAGCCCCGCGCCAGCAGGCACCTATGCTGCTGCTGCCGCATCTGGTGTCTATAAAAAGCCACGCTTGTGGTTGCCCTGTGGATATGTAAGCACTCGCAGTTCAGGCTGCTGCTGCTGCTGCTGATCATTATCATCGTTTGATTAAGTGCTGCAAGTGGCATTAGGCATGACCTGGCTTAGGTTTTTCGTGTTTTGGCAGTCTCGGCCACCTTTTTGGGGTCGCCTGATCTTCTTGTTACCCTGTGTTCGAGTTTCATGTTTCGTCGCCACTTTTCGTATGCCGCATGGTTGTCGGAATGCCCCTGATTCCATGCCTTGGAAGCGGGAAATCCACTGCTTCGAATTTCACGGTTACAGCTCACCGTAGGGTGCTACGAGACCCGCGTCTCCTCCATAATTCCCGTAAGGATCACCTTGAAAGGCCTCTCTTGTAATCTGTGTCATCGATGTTGTACAACTGCTATGGCGCTGGGCGCCAACCACCGGCCCCACAGACATGACTTTGGCTAGATCGTGGATCTAGCCATAGCTATGTCCGTGGGGGGCGGTAATTCGCGGTGAGCTGGGGTTCCATGATCTAACAAGAGCTATGGCCGTGGGGGCGGTGATTTACGCCGAGAGTAGTGCTCAACAATGTGGTGGCGCTGGAGCAATTGTTCAATACCGATGACACAGATTACAAGAAAGAGAGACCTTTCACGGCGTGGGATCATACATAGAGGAGGCGGAAGTCTCGCAGGGCCCTCTGGTGGGCTGCGTTGATAGTTCGCCTGGCTCTATTGACATCTACGGTTTGGTGAGTTGTAACGGGTAAAGCTCGAAACGTTCCCTTCCTTGGACACGTGTTTTCGCGTCTTCTTGTCATTGCCGTGGGGCCAAAGCAACAAATGACCTTGCAGGTGCCACGTCCTGTTTCTCAAGGGAAACTTTGTTTTGGGGTGTTTTTGCTCTTTGTTGTTCTTGCCATGTTAGGCTTGCAAGACGGGAATGCTGCTCTCACGAGAAACAAAACACACGAACAACACCCATGCCCTTGGCGTTCGTAAGAGGCGCAGGAGGCGTGTGTGTCTGTTGTGAGTGTGTCGGCGTGACTTGTTTTTTTGTCAGCCAAGTTTTTCTGGCGACTCGTTTACGTTGTCTGCCCTGCCACGCTTCTTGGGAGTGTTGGGTTGCATCGGTGTGACGCTCATTTGATGTAATGGGTAAAGTCTTAAGGCGCGGAAGAATGGTGTCAGTCAAGCCGCTGGCCCGTCGATTGGTACCCGTGCTATTATTGTCGATTTTGCTCGAGTATTTTTTCGGCGGGCTACGTTGTTTCACCGGGGTTTTCGTGACGCCACTGTCCTTCTCGGCAACGCATTCTTCACAAAAAGTGTCCAGCAGCGCAACCCTCCGCGTGACGTTTGTCTTTTCCGCCGCCGGACCATTGAACGATAGCGCCTTTTTTCGCAACATCCCTCGTACCCCCTCCTTGCAGATCACTCGGGAAGCACAGCTTATCGAGCAGGAGAAGATTCATATTAACGCTCTGCTGGCGGAGGGGAAAACGCGCCAGGAGATCGCACAGATGGGGCTGTACTCGGCGCTCGACCCCAACGTCATGGGTCCCGAGGCATCGTAACTGCTGGCTGTTACTTTTTTTTTCCTTTTCTTGTCCCGTGTGTCACTCAATCCTTGATGTTTTTTTCTCTGGGGGGGGGG